ACTGAAGACTCAAGAAAAAAGCAAAAATTCGACTCTCTTCTGAACGGCTCCGCAGAGGCATATGAAAAATAAAAATCTATTGTTAAGCAATAAAATGGACCTTGTAATCAGCATTCGTGGACTTAAAGAACGGATGGATGGAGGAATCTTCGCGAAAATCACACTTTGAACGATCAACCGAAGGATGGTAAACCAAACGGTCCGGACTAAGATGCTCAACAACCCAGTGCGCTGTCCTGCAAAGATTCATATCAACAAACCGCACAAATCAACAGCAAATTTTACACATTATACAGAAAACTGAATATACAAAAAACTGAATTTCTGAAGAGATTTGAGCTATTTATCAGCCCTAACAGCATTAATAATTATACAACTAATTTAAATTTAATTTATACCAGTTACAATTACCACAGTCGTCGTACTGACGCGGTCCAAATGTCGTAATGGTAAGGAACGTATACGATTTGATGGACCGAAACATTTCTTATAATAATTTGATTAAAATAATTTTACTGATTTCTTAATTCTTATTTTGGAATTCCCTCTTCGATTTTCCTTCTTATTTCAGTATACCTTTCTATTAAAAACGCATTCAAATCTCAAGTCTTTTTGGCTTGCGCCCCTCCTGCATTTGATAGCTGATAAATATAAAAAACATAAGAGCACACAATGTCTTGCAAAGTCCCAGCTTTCTAACTTTCTTGGCTTCCGAAATCGTTTTCTCGCCGAAAAAACTTGCATAAACTTTTTAAAGAGTTCGTACGTGAAACCGAGGCGTACAAGAACGATGATTTTAGAGATGGAGCATCGAACATGAGTTGGAAATACGTCCCAAAAACATCAGCTTACTAGTTTCACAGTTTGCCGAGTTGAAAGTGGATAACAAAAATGTGAACGCACACACACACACACACACACACACACACACACACACATGCAGACAGCTCTTTGTTAACAAATGTGCAAGAACGCATAATGGGTTATTGCCAAGTCGACAGATTACTTTATGGCGGCAACTTTCGGCACGAGATAAGTAATGCTCAACATAAACCAATAAAAACCCGAAATTTCTTCTGCTTGGGGAACTGTTGAGTTGGTAACCCTTTTATGCACTGGCGGATCCAGAAGGGGAGTCTCACTGGAGTTGTTTTGCTGTAGAAAACTGTCTTCGAACACACAGTGGTCCCTCTCCCCCCCCCCCCCCCCCCCCCCCCCCCCC